TGCACTGATAGTGTAAAGATTTTCTTTCAATATCAGTGTATTTTGACCTATTATAGAAGATATCTTCCCATTTTTAAGGTTACCAATCAAAGTTCTTATAGAGAATTACCTGCAGCTTCCTTTTAAGTGACTTGATGGTGTAGAATTTTCTTTATACCGTCATTGAACTTATACTCGATTGGGTTATATATGTCGAGGATTTAATGTTGTAACTAATCATTGTGTTATGAACTTTTAGTTCTCCATGGACTATACTGGGGTTGCAGAACAGAGATTTCATCAGTGGGTTACCCTGTGAAAAATTTCTGCTCCAAATTTTCTTTTAGGTCGCACGCGTGGGGTGTGGGGGCATAATCCACTATGTGCCTATGCAGTTTGTCAAATAATTTGAACAATTAGATTTGGATGAATAGTAAGATAAGAAGTTGGAGTCTTTTTTATTCTCTTGAGAAGCAAAAATTGGGATATTCTGAAAATAAGGGACTGGTGCTTTTTAATGTAATAGGAAGTAATACATGTTTAGGAACTTGTTTGTTTGAAAGAGCTTTCCCTTTCACTGCAAATATTGGAAAAGCTCTCTTTGTTCGAAGTTAATGTGTAGCAAAATAATTCTTTTGGGTTCTTTGTAAATTGACCATTCACAGCGAATGAACCATGAATGTGCTTGTACATTTGCAAACAAAGATTTCATATCTTTGGAGAAAATAACATGTTGGCTTGAAATTTAAATGGAGGTGTAGTACACAATCAGTGGATTACCTGCCATGTGACCTTTCTCTATCTCTAAATATCTTTAATAACATGGGACATACATAGGTGGAACCCTTATTTTGGTCGAGAGGGGAAGCTAGCCTGTAGGTCTAAACTTGAATTCTCTACTTTCTTGTGATGCCATGCCCTTTAATCAAAAGACACTATCTAGTGCTAGGTACAACGTTAGGAAGAGCTTTTTAGATACTAATAGCTAAAAGAGGTAGTGGCTATGTCAAAAGAAAAAGGCTGAGCAAGTTTTAGATCAGGAATTTTGAGAAGTAAGGAACTACTGTCCCGTTTGTTGCCTCTTGCTCACCTTTTTAGCTTGCTTGGCTATAACTTTTTGTGAGTTTACTACATTTCAAATTGAAGAAATTCTTTTCCTTTAGCTAATCCTTCAGTTTATCTGTGTTTATTGTCATTCATAACTCAATTTTATAATCTTGATCTTGCAGGAGCCAAGCAGTGTGGAGAAAATTATGGAAATTGATGAGCATATTGGCTGTGCGATGAGTGGATTGATAGCTGATGCAAGGACTCTTGTTGAACATGCACGAGTTGAAACTCAGGTATTTAGAGCTAAAGGTTAAACCGTTAAAATTCAAGTCATTCTATGCAAGGAAAAGGTAACTGGCTAAGCTTGCTTATTCTGTATTCCCCCTTTTCAATAGAACCACAGATTTTCTTATGGTGAGCCCATGACTGTTGAGTCCACAACACAAGCTCTGTGTGATTTGGCCCTGCGATTTGGGGAGGGTGATGAAGAGTCTATGGTAATAACTTTTTCTTTACTTAGCAGTTTCGCTCTTGTTTCTTAGGGACAGGTATATTTCAAGCAGAACCATTCAAAATCCCAATTCATTGCTTTCTAATTTTGATCAAAAGCATGTGCCATTCAATATTTTGCTTTTCCCATTTATTTTGATTGAACTTTAGGAGCTTGATTGACGACGTAAATGTACTTGTACTATTAGATATTTTGTTAGTGTTGCTACTTGAGTGGGTAAAAATTGTACTTTATTGACTGGATTGAGCTGTTTCATTTTATGTGGCTGGTGAATCATTTGTGATTACTCTGTTTTCTCTTCTACCTGTCTCATTAAGACACTATGCATGTACGTGTAACAATGCCTGTGTGTGGAATACTGTTGATTTTGTATATTATTACTTGGACAAAAAAGTTATTAACTTATTGTGAAGGTCATTAATTTACTGCTCATCTCTGTTCTCTTGTATATGTGGGGTCTCGGTATCCTAATGTACGTGAAATGCTTTAGACTTCTGTATACAGAAGCCCTGTATTGTACTGATAGAACTAGAGGCTGACTGATGGATCTAGAGATCTTCATTTAAGCTGGCATTTGCTTTTATGGTAGACTAATAATGACTATAGAGACTATTGGGATTATTTCTCGGATTATATAGTTCTGTATACAGAAGGTCTTGAAAGATGTTTTTTGATCATTTTAGTGTGTATAGATAGTCTGTGTTGGGTGTATATGGATACAAATATTCTCTATCCAATTGCATAATCTGTAGTTATGTTTTCTAGCGCTGACTTAGTGCAAGCATTTATAAATATTTGATTACTTATCGAAAAAAAAAAACCTTTGTCCAATTTCTACATTCTAAGAATATTAGATATCTTGTAAATAAAATAAAAAGAAAAATTAAGGAATGAGATCAGAAAAAAAATTCTGCTTTATAACATGTATTTATAGATGATAAATCTGAGTGGAGGACCTGGTTAGTTATGGTTGTTTTCCGTGAGTGGATCTGATTCATCGCGTAGAACATTTTGCTAGTGCTCACACATAGTCTCTGTCATTTTGTATTTTCTCTCTTGAAAAAATCTTAAACAGTAACGTGGTGAGCTAAGGTCTGGATCCTGTTAAAACGCACGCTATCTAGAATAATTGACTTCTCGTCAACATATATGGATGGCACCTTGTTTCTTCTGTTTCGACTAGAGTAAGATTCAAGTCTTCCACTAAAATTCATTATCTTTGATTTTATGCAGTCCAGACCTTTTGGTGTATCACTTCTCATTGCTGGCCATGATGAGAATGGTCCGAGCTTGTAAGTATTTGCTTTCAGTGAGATTGTTGGAAGTATTGCATTATATTCTAAGTTTTCTTCTCTTTTTGTGTTTGATCATGCTTGATGACGCTGCACGCAATCATCTATTAGTTTGTCATCTTGTTTTGTGTTTGTGCATTAGATACACCCCTAGATATTTTCTGCTGATTAACAGTTGGTTGCGTGCTAGTTGAACCCTTTGCCAACATGGCATAACTTTCTGTTAACATGCTACTCTACAGTTTCCAACCTAGTAAATCTCGCCAGTCATCCAATCTACATACAAGAATCATGATCCAAGCTTCCTCTCTCTCTTTTAGTTTCCTTTTTCCATTTAACTTCATTTGTGTGTGCACATGCTTTTGTGTCTGTGTGCATGTCAATTGGTCTTAATTGTAACTTTTCATCAATGATCCTGAGTTATTCTGGAAAAGGACAAAAGGATTCATTGACTTAATTTTAGCATTTGGTGACGTTTCCGGCTTTCCCTTGTGTGAATATTCTCCCAATCGACATTGCTTAATTAGGAAGTTCATATTTTGGTAAAAGATGAACACAAGTGATGACTGCTGTGAGTTGCCTGGAAATACCTCTGACAGCTTAACACCTAGTAATGAGCTTGTGTTAATCCAGACATGGATACGACTTGCCTTAGTTATTTACTTTCATGGGAATCACGAGATCAAAGAAAGTCTGAAATCAGAAAATGAATGATGCCACTAAAATGTTTTAGTAATGCTAAAAGTAGGTATAGAATGCTCCTATTATGGTATACCTATTTAAACATGAGAATTGTAACTGTTAATTTATGTTATTCCAAGAGTTAAATAGAAGGTAGAGGGGCGACCCATTATCCACCGAGTTTCGAAGGGTGGCCCTTGAGCTTTCTCAGTTATAAAGAGAAGAATTAAATGGGGTACTGAATTTTTCCAAATATACTATGAAGGGAAAATAGTCGTTTTGAGCTAGTCGGCTGCCCAGCCATCAGTTGAATCCTCATTGCAGTTATCCTTTAAATTCGTCCTAGTAACCATCTGGTACCCTGTTGCCACTAACAATATGCCGTTTGATATGCAGATTTTATACTGATCCTTCCGGCACTTTCTGGCAATGCAATGCAAAAGCCATTGGTTCAGGTTCAGAAGGTGCTGACAGCTCTTTGCAGGAGCAATTCAACAAGGTATAAGAATTAGCAACTTTATTTTCTACTTAAACTGTCATATTTTTGTTGAGTTAACCTATTCTTCATGGGTTTTAGATATTTCATGCCATTAACCGCCTCGAAACCCAAACCTCCTCCCTTCGGGAAATATAAGAGAAAAAAAAAACCTAACTATAATTAGAGTGGTAGATCAGCTATTCCTGGATAATTGGCTTGATATGGTTTTTGAAGTGCATTATTTGCTATTCTACAGGACCTCACCCTAAAGGAGGCTGAAACGATTGCACTGTCAATTCTAAAGCAAGTGATGGAAGAGAAGGTAAGCTCCATGATAATAATGTATCTTTATTCTGATCTGTGTACTCTACTACTATTAACTGAAAATTACCTGTTCAACAATTTCAGGTGACTCCCAATAACGTTGACATTGCGAGGGTATCTCCAACTTATCATCTCTACTCGCCTTCTGAGGTGGAAACTGTTATCAGCCGCCTATAAGAAGAAAGCTCTCTTGTTACGCTTGTTAGCCATTTCTCTATTATGGGCAATGTTTACTTCCAACTGTTTTAGAATTTGTGGATTGTATTGCCCCTTCTAGCATGTTAAATTACCCTTTATGTTGCTTGGAAATTCCCTAGGATGGGATGGATTGTTTTCTGACGAGGTCTAAGATTCAGGTATGGTCGAAAAGATACCTTTTCCATAGAAAGGCTTGAGTTACTTTCTATGCAATATTGTGTCTGACGAAATGCTTAAAAATCCCCTAGATATGTCTGTTACCTAAAGAAAAATATGTTATTAATGGCCTTTTGTTATGTGGCTCTTCAAGCGAGGGAATTCTATTATTCCTTGGAATGAGTTTGTATTCAACACAGAAGCTCATCCTTTGCCCAATCAAATGAATTTCTTGAAGATAATGATGCTTTGATTGCAAGAATGATTTGTTAACAAATGGAATTAGAATGTGAGCTGAAAAAGTGGAACCAATTAGATTAAATGTTGGTGGCTGGAGTTTCATCTGAAGCTCAATGTTCATCTTATTATGTGGATCACTCGAAATGGCTACGATCTTGTAAGGTGTTAGTGTTGTAGTTTTTCAATGGAACAACTGGATAGATTGTCATCCTCCAGTAGTACTTGGCAGACAATCTTGTAAACTTTTAAGTGATACTTAAAATTTATTTCTCCCTGATTCATGTTGCCTGACATTTATGTAACGAGATCAATATATGAACATCAGCCTTTCGCAATCAATTATCACGTCACATTAGTTGAAAGAAGATACAAATGATCACCATCTCTAATGACATCTACCTCATCTATTTCTACATTTTCTGCATTTACAACTTTCTTGAGATTGTACTCCCCAAATCTCTCACCTGCATTTACACAAAATTGCTAGGTTAGTTGCTCGACCAATAGTATCATGAAGGAGTACTTCATGGTGAAATGATTTAGCATTTTTGCTCAACTTTTGTAGGATCAATCCTAATCCTCCCACCCCCTTATAGAAAAAAGGGGAAAAATTCATCTCCCATTTTTGTATAAGTTCTTGGGCTCAGTCATGTTAGTGGGTAAAATCATGGATAACAGGATTCAAATCTCAATGAAGAGCCAAAAAAAAAAAAACACTATTAGGTGATTTCTTTCCATCTTCCTAAACCTTGGTAGGTAGAGTTACTCGGTACATATGCTGATGGGAGGTAGCAAGTACCCGTGGAATAATGGAGGTGTAAATTTAGCTAGCCAAGACACCACTGCTTTTGAAAATAAGTATTTAGAGAGAGAGAGCACGATGCACTAAGCTTCCGCTATGCGCGAGACCTGGGGAAGGGCCAGACCACAAGGGTCCATTATACGCACCCTTACCCTGCATTTCTGCAAGAGGCTGTTTCCACGGCTCGAACCCGTGACCTCCTGGTCACATGGCAGTAACTTTACTAGTTACGCCAAGGCTCCCCTTCATATGAAGATATATAGTAAGGTGAAATAGAAGCTCACCTGCTATTTTGAATAGCTCTTCAAGTGTATCAGGTAGTATTATTAGCTTCCCATAATGCTCCTTCAGTGAACTGTTCCTTTTCATATGAATGGTAACTCTCTTCTTTGTTGATTTTGTCCCTTTTGCACCAATAAAGCTTGTGGAAGTGGATCTTCTATCGCTTGAATAAGAACAGCAGGGGACATCATTTCTGGAATTCTTGAATTGGCTGCTCCTTATTTCTTCATCTAAGCTAATGAAATTACCTTTCTTCTCATTTAACTCACTGTAATTTTCAAGATTTGATAACAACTCATGCATGCTTTCGTTTCCTTCATGTTCTGCTTGAGTTATTGCTATCAACCCTTTCGCGTCAAGTTGATCTTCATTACTGTCACCTTTATCTTCTTCTTGTTTCTTAACTCTAGCTTCTAAATTTTGGATATTTATGCTAACCAGAGGTGTATCTTGTTGTAAAACATGAGAGCAGCATTCATCTCTTTGTCCTCCATTTGACCAGTTGTTGAAGACTAAATTTTGATCACTTTCTTGGTCCACATAACCTAAACCTCCAAAACTTTGCAGCTTCTATTTTCAAGAAAAAGAAAATAGTTGATACTATATTTCATTTTGCTCATACATAGAACAAAAAAATAAGGAAAAACCAAGGAGAAGTTGGCTGAAAACAATTCATTCATATATAACTTTTTACACTCACCAGAACAAGATTTTTCATTATAATCCCTTCATCTTCTGGATTTGCTCGAATAATGTTCAACAAGGTTGTCGTCTTCAGGCGTAAAATTTGAGAAAGCTGAGTTGTTCTAACAGTATATGGTTGTGGCCTTCCAAATAAAACCCCTATTTCTCCAAATGATTCTCCAGCAACAGCCTTTCCAATGATCTGTTCGCGGACAGGTTTCAAAAAAATATAAGTTAGGATAAAGTATTTGAATTCTATATTTAAAATATGAACATAATGTTGTTGAGTGTTATACTTACTTGTTCATTTCCATTGATATCTGCTATCAAATCCTACAATAATACATAACTGATTAATAATATGAACTGCAAATCCAAGAGTTGAAGTAATTATTCACAATTTATTAACTTACCATTTGTCCTGAGACTATTATATACAATTCTGTTGGAGCCTCATTTTGTAGAATCACATCTTCCTTGGGAGGGATATATTCAGCTTCCATTTCAGGAACCTTAAAGCAGGACAACACATCATTGTTTCAATAAATTTTAGTATGTCATAGTGGTAAATAATAGTTAAAAAAGAGCGCTTCCCCCCCGAAAGGGGCCCTACGCGGTGCAAATCCGGATATAGTCGGGCTCCAATACGGGCACCGGACACCGGGTGGGAAAAAAAAAAAAAATAGTTAAAAAAGAAGGCCAAAATACTTTTGAATTTGATAGGTTCGACCTTTAAGTTTATGGTACGGAACACATTATACTTTTAAAATTACGGGTCCAGAATTTAATATTTGTTGAAATTTATTAGTCTTTCACATATATATCTAGATACTGTATCGAAAATACTGGTTCCGTTTAATCCATTGAGTATAGGCTGTATCTGGCTAAGGGGAAGGTAACAGGTACCTAGTGGAATAATGGAGGTTCAAATTTAGCTAGCCGGACACCATCATTATGAATTTAATATTTGTTCAAAACTTATTGGTCTTTCACATATATATATCTATATTCTATATCGAAAATACTGGTTCAGTTGAATCCATTGAATATAAGTTGTATCTGCCTAAGGGGAAGAGGGTCAATATAGAACAGAAATTACCAGTTGGAAAATCATGTCCCTGGAAACACCTTGGAACAGACTGATATTTTGAACTATTGGGAAAAACAAGTAATTTGCAATGCTTGTTTTGATTGATTTTGGCAGGACATTCAATGTCTCATCTTGTTGTAATGCTTCAGTTTTGAACTTGAGACAGATATGAGACAAAATCTGATCTTGTATCCGCGGCGACAACTGATTTCGTCTTGCAAATTCTTGAGCTGCTTCGACTTTATCCCTCTACACAACAAAATCACGAGGGTTAATAATTTTTACACTATCAGTATATTTGAACATGTTATAATACGCGCTAAAGAGAGAGAGAGAGAGAGAGAGCATACGAAATTTCTGGTGTAGCCGGTCTTGTGAACAACAAGATTTGTCATGTTACCAATGATATAAGATGTCAATCCTAAGTTGAATAACATGTAAAAGATATCAAAGAGCATCTCTCTTGGATTTTCAGCATGTAAATCTCCATAACCAGTTGTTGTTAGTGTTACAATAGACCAATAAAGTGAAGTTATATATCTGTCCCATAGGCTTTCTTCTTTGAAATCAGGATTTGATGCACCAATCCATGTTTTTTTGGTATCAGGATATCTATCTGCAATCACATAGTTAAAGCATCCAGCACAATGCACTGCAAATAAAGTTACCTGAAACAAAAGAAATGCATATTTTTAGTAAGAAATTAGTAATAAAACTTGATGTTTAGGATCCTATGGTTACATTATAACAGTAACTTACAGATATCAATTTTGCATATCGCGTCCAAAAATAGTTAAAACGGATGTCCTTTTCAAGCCTGAAGGAAAGCAAAAACCAGCTTTATGTGAGAATATGGTTCAATATGCAAGCATTAGAATTTGGTGCAATATGCAAAGGATTAAGTATATTTAAGAATAAATTACGCTGGATGGACCTTTTTAAAATTACTATTTATATTTTGATCTTGTTGAGAAATTCTGAGAAAATAGCCATGCGTCAGAATTTTAAAGCACGTTGGTCAAAATTTTCCAGCCATAATGTGAAAAATTCTGGTGATCGGTCAGAATTTTATGGCCAGCCAATTGCACAAAAATATGGCAACTGTTAGAATTTATGATGATCGCCTAAGAAATTCTGACCAGCGTGCTTCAAAATTGTAACGGGAGATTATTTTCCCAACACTTTTCTTACGGGGGTCAAAATTTAAATGGTGGCACGAAATGATCCTATTTGGGTAAATCACCAATTATTTAATTTATATATATACTAATAGTAATTTTATATTATCGGCGATGTAGGGTAAATAATTTTTACACTACCAGTGTAAAATATACTGTGTTCGAACCAACCTTGCAAACAAGGCACTGACTCTTCTAAGACGCCAAAGTCTGAGCATACTGAGCAATTTGAATCCAACTCCATCACTTTTTTTGTGATCAATAAAGAGTAAAGCATGAAATGGCACAGTGGAACAAACATCAAACATGAACCAGGTCGATAAATACCTGTAGTTAACCATGTAAAACCCAATATTAGAACGAGTCGCAGAAAGAAAGAGAATATTTGAAAGTTGAATATATACCTTATTGCTATCTTCTTAGGATCATCAACAAGAATATAAGATTCTGGATGAAGATAAGCCATGAAAAAGGTAAGGAAAATGTCAATAGCAAAGAAGCAGTTGACACTGTTGTCAAATATGACAAAGCCATCTATTTTGTATTTCAGAAATGCAAACTCGAAAGGCGTAATCCAGGCCGTATATATGACAAGAATCAGTAGAAACATCTCCCAAGCCCTGCAAAAATATGAGCTTTTCTATAAAACAATACTAGTAGTATCATGAAAAAGAGACGGATTCAGGATTTAAATTTGACTGGTTCGATACTTATGTTCTTCTCACTACCGAATACATTGCACTTTTGCAACTACGGGTTGAGGTTGTAGTAATTCTTTTACATATATATATTTATGCTCCGTGTATTACCTGTAACGAGGATCGAAGGGCGAAATGATGTATTTTCGAAGCTTTGTATCATGGTTGATTCTTGTTCCGAGAGAAGGAAGGAGATGATCATTGGAGAAGAAGTCACAGTTTTTAGTATAAGAAAATGACATTGTTGAACTTTTATTGTTGGTGGGGTTTGAGATTATGGATGCTATAATAACTAGAGTTCATTAAAAAACTAGTTTTTATTGGTGGTAAAGTGGCCTTTTGAAGAGCCTTATATATAGATATGGTGAAAGTGAAGCTGTTGACTGTTGCAAGTTTAGTCACTAGTCAGCCTTATCTTTTTTCCTTAGAATTATTCTTTTGATATGCTTTGAACTTATGAAAAGTGATAATGCAACATCTGTGGTATCATTAACGAGAGTAAAAGAAAAAATAAAATGAATGGTAAATACAAGGGAATGCATTATTTGTTGAGTCGTGTTTGAACAAGAAAAAGTTAGTTTATTATCATGCCAATAGTAAGGCCGCAACTTTATTTCTTAATCAAGCTCATCGGAGGTTGATCCGGAATTTAAATTTAATGAGTTCAGTTTTGAAGTTTTTTTTAATATTAAACTCATTAAACCATTAAAACTTTGAGTTCTTGTTGAGATTTTAGTATGTTTTTACTTATAAATCCATATTCAATATCAAAAGTTATAAGTTCAGTTGAATTCATCCCAACCTCGATCCATGGGCTTTGCCCTAAGCAGGATGTCGGCATTACCTAACAAAAGTAAGAAATGGCAGACGTGACCATCGCTTTATGCAGTTTCAGAGACAAGGGAAACAGAGGAGGGAAAGGAAATGGTGATGTCCCTCAGAGAAAGTTGGTGGAAATTATTATTATTATGGTATTAAAAATGAAACAATTATAAAGCAATGACAAGTTTGAGTGACAAGCTAGATTGGTGTTTTCACTTCATGCTCAAGGATTGGATTCACCCAAATTTCATGCACGACCAATAGGCTAAATCCGTTGAGGAAATTTAACAATATTTGCACGAATCTAAATTGTATGTACTAACAATGTAATCTTTTCTAATATTACAAGTGTTATTCAACTTGTAATAGCATATTAAGTGCAATGCTACTAGGTTACCGATTAGTAACAATAATCATATAAATTTACCAATAATAACTTCATAAATATTTTTTTTCGGGCACTTATTTATGGAACTTAGCCCCTGTTTGGCCATACATTTTCCCAAATTTAATTTGAAATTTATTTTCAAATCCCATGTTTGGCCATAAATTTGATCCACATTTTGGCCAAAACTCAAATCACATATTTGAAATCTCAAATAAGCTGAATTTGGGCCAAATTTCCAAAACTTGGGAATTATATATATGTTTTCCCAAAATAAAGTTGAAAAATATGTTTTGAAATCGTATGTCCAAACACATTTTCATCTTCAAACTAAACTTCACCCAAATCAGATTTTTCAAAATAAATTTGGGATCTATGGCCAAACGCTAGCTTAAACTCTTGATTCAAACTTGTAACCTCAGATTTGTTAATATTTTTTCTTTTTGCAGTTTAATCAGATCCATATGTTCTGGAAACAGACTCCACAATATATTGAGCCGCAATATTCATAAAATTATAGTTTTGGATTTTGTGGAAAATCCAGATTTCCTCTTTCCATCTCCCTCTATGTGTTTGCCCTGTTTCTCTTATTATTATCATTAATTAATTAATTAATCCGCCGACCTCATCTTCTCTTTTTGATAGCTTGCATGTGATACTTCTATGGGCTATTCAATCCTTTTCGCATAATTCTTGGAATACTATCTTCCATTACAATTATTTATTTTCTTTAAAGATTTTACACACCCTAAAGAAAGATATTTAATAATTTTATGCACAAGAATTTTTATCTAAACTCCTTATCATTTATCTCTTCTTTAAATGTCCTAATTAATTAACACTCCACGAAAAAAAGTAGTAAATAGTCTCCTAAAACGTTAGATATTTTGACAAATATAGTTTGACGAAACGACAGAGCCCAGAGGGAGTATTATTCATTAATTAGTAAATTCTTCATTTACCTCTCATGTTTCAGTGTCTAAGAGATATATATACTATATGACATTGTGACTAAAACTTGTATTCTTTATGTGTTTAATATAATTTTAGCCCATTGCTCTTCTTGTCATAAGAGGAAAGGAAAATGACAAAATTTGAGAAAAAAGGTATAGTATATGAGGGGCAGGGGCGACCCTTCCATAAAACAAATAAAGCAACTGCTTTAGGCCCCACATTTTTTGGACCCTATTTTTTGTTACACCTAATAGGTTATGTATAAGTTAAAAAAGGTTTTGTGAAGTGAAAAAGTCTAATTTTTTTCTTTAACAAGTATAGAGAAGAAGGATTTGCAGCTGCTATGATTTCTGCCAAGAAAATTGTAACTAAATGAATATCGAACCCGAATTTCGTAAGAAACGTATGATATATATAGGAAGTAACAATTTGATTAGAATGTTGAGAGTAAAATCTCAAAATCTTTCGAAGAGTCCTTTGGAGTTGATTACTTTATACATAGCAGACAAGACTATTTTTTTGACTTCAAAATAGATTTGAACAATTCGAAGCATATGAAAATATTTTTGGTTTTCTATTTAGCAGTTAAAATTATCACTAGATGATGAAAATTTGAAGAAGTATTGCCTTCATATTGAATGTTCCTTAAAGCATAATAATCAATTCAATATTAATGGTTTAGATTTATTTTCAGAATTAAAAATATTAAGAAAAATATATAGTACAATTAGAAGATAACAATTTAATTGATACACTCGGTCAAATAAAAAAATTTGATTCTTTTTCCAATGCCTATAATACTTATGGATTTTTTTTTTTTGTAATTAATCACTTTTATATTAATCACCGAATAAAACTATACAAACCCATAGCATCGCTTACACAGCTAGCTATCTCATTTCAACTCTATCTTCTATTTCATATGATCCTCAATACACTCAAACAAAAATATAACTATGTACTAAACTCTGAATGCCAGTAGTAGTTCTAATGTTGCATATGTATGCTACCTCACGAGCAATAGTAGTCCCGTCTCGTGCGCTTTTCTCAAATATCCTCAGATTTCTCTCAATCCAAATTGCATGTGCTATTTCTTCATATACCAACCGAAATATCTTTGCTCGTTTGGTCTTGCCTTTAGCATGCTGCAAACTCCATTCCAGATGCTGCTCCCAGGTCTGTGTACTTCTATAGTCATGTTGCATCCATTGCATAATCTTCCTCCACAGGTTCTTTGTATACTCACAGATGACAAACAGATGATCCCTATTTTCCTTATGGTTGTGGCATAAAGTACATTGTTAATAACTCTTGTTTTCGTCGTTTCACCAAAAAAAAAAAAAATTCAAAATTAAAATTGATAAAATCTCACTTAAGATCAACAATGTCTCAATAAAGGTTAAATGGATTAGCTATATTGTCAATTAAGAAAGACTTATTAGGAGTTTTTGATTATAAGAAAATCATTAATAACTTTGTATCTAAGAAACGCTAAAAAAATAGACTTCAAATAAATAAATATTAAAAAAAAAAAGTTAAGGCCCCTCATAAAATTTGCTTTAGGCCACAAAACTCGTCGGGCCGCCTCGCAGGGATTGAGGCTTCATACAAACATATTTAATCACATGTACACATGAAGTGTTTTTGAAAGTGAGATTTTGTCCAGGTCAGAGGGTAGGTGGAAGAGACTAATTGGAAAAAGGTTTTTATTTATTTTTATTTGATGAAGGGGAAAGTGAAGGGCCAAGAGGGCGAAAAATGACCCCATTTGGTAGGACTTAGAAAAGAGCTATAGTTCGAAAAATATTATTCGTGGCATGGGCAGATTTTTTTCTACTTGCATAGTAGCAAATCCACTTCAATTGATAAATTAAAAGTATTAAAAAAAGTTTAAATTAAACGTGTGTTGTGTTAATATTTTAGTTTGAAAATTTGTGGGGGCTGTGGGAGGAAGGTGGGATTCCCTATTTTAGTATTTTTCATTATATTTTGAGGACATTTGAATATTTTGTTTATTGTCAACGACCTTTTGGTGATACTTCCAAAAAAAGAAAAAGATGAGATAAAGAGAATCAATGTGTTATTTTATCAGGAAAGACACAAAATGGAGCAACAAGGCCAAATTTCGTTTGATGAAAAAAAAAAGGAAAAAAGAAAATTCAATTAGCTCTATACACACATATATCTGGTGCAAGTCAATATGGTCTACGTTTGTTAATCTATAATTGCGTAGGACAATAGTCTGTTAATTACTCCCCCGCTAAGATTCTAAAGATAGGCTTCGTCGAAGTTAAAAAGACAATGTTAAACAATTATATGACTTAAAGCTAACACCCATGAATATTCTCAAAATAGCTTGTGCAAACCACGTTATGTCACGACTCAAAATTCCATCATAAGGGTCGTGATGGCACCTAGTTCCAAATAACAAAACGGACCTATTTCAAGTCCAGAAACCAAAATCCTAAACAAAATCAATCCATGGTCAAACTTAGGAAATTTCTAAACCTTCAAATTGCCAACTTTCAGCAAAAGAGCCAATTGAATTTAGGAACTTCCAAATTCAATTTCGGGCATACGCCTAAATCCAAAATCACCATACGAACCTATTGGATCCCTCAAAACACCGTTCCGGGGTAGTTTTCACAAAAGTCAAACCTCGGTCAACATTTTCAACTTAAACTTCCAATCCAGGAACCAAGCATTCTAAATCAACCCAAATCCTCCCCGAAACCTAACCAACCATCCCCGCAAGTCACATAACCGCAAATACACCTACGGAGAGCTTCAAAAGAAAAAATGGGGCTCAAATACACAAAACGACCGGTCGGATCATTACATTTCCCCCTCTTAAACAAACGTTCGTCCTCGAATGAGTACAGATACATACCTGAAATGCCAAAAAGGTGAGGATATCGACCCCACATATCATGCTCGGTCTCCCAAGTCGTCTCCTCGACCGATTGACCTCTCTATTGGACCTTTACCGATGCAATGCTCTTCGACCTCAACTTTCGAACTTGTCTGTCCAAAATATCCACCGACTCCTCAACATAGGTCAAATCCTTATCCAATTGCACCGAGTTAAAATTTAACACATGAGACGAGTCCCCATACTACTTTCGGAGCATGGAAA